GAAATCCTTAGACTTTTTAGCTTTCCGAAATTTGACGAAGTTAGTGAGATGCATTGGGAAAATTTCCGTATAAAGACTCAGTAAATAAGAGCGCTCTCTGTGCTGCGTGGTAACTTACACTTGAAGCAACTTTTGGGTGGTAAAACGTCTTTAAAAATATACATTGAGTCAATTTGCATATCATTTTGACGTTAATACTACTTCGTTAGTATTAACTCGCATACATGACCTCCTTTCTTGCTATATTTTTGCTTCTAAAATTTGCTAGGGTCTTAAATCGAGAATTTTTGTAAATGAAATTTCAGAATGAGAAGAAGGAATAAAATTCTCATAGTATTAACTGCGGTGTTTAAATACGAAATAAACCACATCATTAAATTATCATATATATATGTAACTACCGCTGATTATAACAGCCATATCTAGCTGAATGATTTCAGTACAAGACTACGCCCATTATAATAATCATTGGTATGCCTAGAAAAAAGTAGGTAATAATGCATCTCTGACTTTTCCTAGTTTTACTATGTATACCATGGTAAAATATTATATTGAATTAGACAGAACTTTTGTCAGAATATACAGATATAAATGAATTCAAAGCCGTACTACAACGTGTTTAAAAATGATAGGAAAACGTCTAATTATACAATAACTAGGATAAATAACAGCGTCATCTCTCCGAAAATACATGCAAGTTCCTATCGCAGAAAGGTGGGGAAATTGTTTTACGTCACATCACCTCACCTCAAAAACGTTCTATATCAGAACGATGTGTGATTTGACGAATAACTATTTAGTAAACCAGCTGATGACATAATGAGCCCAAGTTTCTTTTGCCATTGCCCCTACACTTTTACTACCCCTGTGGCTGCATACGGATTCCGAGAGAGCGTAGAAGTTGTAGCCCCTCTGTTACGCCTCGCTAAAATGGACAAATAGAGATCTTCTCTGGCGTCGTGGCTCTTGGACGACCTTGCCCAGGCTTTCTCTCGATGGATTCAGTATCCTGGAACTGTTTTCATAGGTAACACACGACGCTGGGCGTTAAATTAAACTCTCTGCATATCTGGACTTGCGATGGTCTGTCTCTAGCCTCCCCACAATTTGCCAGCTCATCCCATCATCTAAACGTTGGCGGTTACTCATTTTTACTGTTCCGATGTGAATTTAACCGATTGCTACAAGATAACGCCAAGAAATTCGCCGAGGTGTGCTGGAAAACGCAATTCGTCTTACACTCCATGCGCTTATAAAGCCTGTTTTTCTGCTGGCTCCGCCTATACACAAGTGTACGTTTACGTATTGGCCGTAAAAGATTTGCATTTTTATCTAGAAGTGATGGTTTTTCCTTCGATTCAGTTCTTTTCATGCAGTTGGATAAAATATGCAAATTCTCTTAGTTTATTTCACCAGTGTACTTAAAAATTGACAAAACTAAAAGAATCTAACTAATGGTTCAACTTAATCTGTAAGGATAAAAAGATAAGAAAGAATTCAAAAGCAAAAGGCTTCTATAACTAGCTACTAAAAAAATGAAAAAAAATTTCCACTGTCGATGTACAAGGTACTAAAAAGGTGTGGCTCGATGGTACATAAAGAATTTTTTTTATGGAGAAATTATAAGCAACAGTAAAAAAGTGATACAAGTAATATTTAATGCTGGAACGACAAATGTGTAAAGTATGAAAACCTTAACTGTTTCTGTAAACGTCTAGTAAATCAAATAACAACCAAAAGCTGTGGAAGGAACGCATGCAAAAAAAAAAAAAAAAAAAAAAAAAAAAAAAAAAGGTTGCTGAAACTTTGTCGAACCCCATTGATGGGTTTACCAGAAAATGAGAAAAATGGTTCTTAAACTGGAATAGCAACAATAGTTGACAAATAGAAATGAACAAAAAACAGTTAAAAAGCCCGCGCTTTCTAGGCGTGATACTATTGGTGGAAATTTGAAAGGGGGAGTAAAATTGCAAACTATGAAGACGGTAATGAGTTGAACAAGAAAATGGCGTCTTATTTTCTGAGTCGGGTCTTGAAAACTAACCAATAAAGATGGCGATGTAATTCTACACAATCTAAATTTAAATTTTGGCCAAAAGTTCAGGAAAGCGAAAAAAATGGTGCTGGTGCCACAAAAGGCAAAAGTCTTCACGCAATCGAGCTATAATGCGTTATGGAAATCTAAATAGGCCCTTTTTCGTTAGAGACAGGAAAGAATTGCGAGAATTTAATAAAAAGTACATAAAGAGAGTAATATGTTCATTAAAGCCTCGCATATTTACAAAGAGAAAAGATCAGACATTTAATTACATATTCAGTTTAAATGACTTGTCAAAATTCATCCAACTATTACCTTAATTTTCAGGTTTGGGTAACAATTTTCATATCACTGTAAACAAGTAATTTAAAATATAAAGTTAATGCCACCTTTTCTTAAAGTGTGTGAAATAGTGAATTTGGGCATTTGATTTTCTAAGAGGAACTTAATAATTCTCCTTGAAGGTAATCTGTTTCTTTGCAAACTTTTTGATTCTAAGAATTTGCGAATTAATAGTATTAAGTATACTTTTCTTGCAGATGTTGGAATTCCAACTGATGAGTATAATTGTATCAAAATTAAAAATCCCTTTTTCATCATAAATTTTAATTCCTTTGTAGTTTAAAATATGTAAATCAAGTTACAGTTATCTTTGTAGTTTAAAATCTGTAAGTTGATATTATGTTGATGTAGGATAGTTTTGTTAAGTTTGAGGCAAGTAAGATAGATATTTGCTTCTTCTGTTTTATTAAAGTTGTTGAATGTAATGATGTCGTCGACATATTTGAAAATGTTGGAAAAATAAGTACGTTGTTCATTAGTATGTGAACACTGGAACTGATATTATTGTGAGAAGAGGAACAAATTACAAATTCCGAAGATGCGCTCGATCCCCCTGGAATGCCCGTGACTTGTTTAAAAATGTATTATTAAACTTGATGTAATTATGAAACAAAATACTTTTAAGCAGATTTGACATTTTTCTTTGGAGACTATTGTAAGAATTTTTGTAAGCTGATCTGGTAAAGTGAGCAGACTGTCATAAATTTCTTTTAATGGCAAATTAGTATAAAGATTTTCGAAAACATAGCAATTAATATTCTTAACATCTAAAGACTGGAAAGCTTCGATGATCGGTTCGTTGTGAGTAGTAATCCAATTGTAATTGTGATCTTGGAAATTAATATTATTAATAATGTAGAGAACTTTTTAAAGCTTTTTGAAAAAAAAAGATAATCAATTTCTTTCAAAGCGTTTTTTGCACCATTGGCTATGAATCTGAATTTGACCGGCGTTTTGTGAAATTTGTATAGTGCGCAAGTGTGTGCTAAAATCCTTTCATTTTACACTAGATTAAAGACTACTAAAGAATAAGAGTAAATTCAAACTACAGGTTAGGTTAAGTTAGGTCAATTCATTAACGCAAAGCAACTCGAGGGCTACCTGCCTATGAGGGTATGCCTTCGTGGAAGACTTATTAAGGGAAATTGGCTTATATCAACGTTAAAAACAAACAATTGGGGAAAACAACGAATTCCCATACACCCAGCCCGTTCGCAGGGATACGAGCTTGAGTCGAACTATCAGTGTTCAGTGATATTACCGCTCGGCTAATGGTAGACCCAAACTACAGAAATATAGTTTCGTATACATAATGACTTGAAACTACTGTTTTCATTACGTATAGGATAAGTTCTATTCACATATCGAAATGAAACAGCGAAAGATTTTTTTAAAATTGTCTTTAAATTTACCTAACACATTAATGATTCCAACATTTTCTTACGTATATTTTTATTTTCTTATATAAAATTTGAATAAAAGTCAAAATTTTGTCATACTAAACTGAAATATTCTTACATAAAAATAATTTTGCCCCTCTTTCTAAGATATTTTTCTATCTCTTTCGGTGTATACCGGGCAGTGTTGCACGGGTAAATGAGCAATTTCCATCCACAACATTTGCATTATATTTCCGGAATAACATAATTCCAAAACGTATGCAGCTAAAGCTGTTTAAATCAAAGTATCCCATATATGACAAAAATCAGTTGAAAACTAGTAAAATGAAACATATATTTGCTTATAAAATCCAATATTTATCAAGTGCTATAAAATATATGTGACTATACAAAATGCTCTGAGGATTGTATAAAGACTAGATTAATAATGGCGATAATAATTCTTATGACATATAGGGAAATATTCGCAACACTTCGGTAGTAGGTCAGAATTTTAATTGATGAAATCCTTCTTTTATGTAAGAAAATTTGAATGTTTTATTTGCTATTTAGATTAATTAAAATCGCAGAATATTGCAATGTTGGGTATTAGGTAGCCGTTGATAATACAGCAATACCTCGCATAATATGACTTCGATCAGTTCTGAATCACTATACTTCGGTTTGAAAATTTCTAAAAAATGAAATTTAAGTTGAGCAAAACTAAAATAAATTCTAAAAAAAAAGTACCTAAAATTACTTTTTTAATACACAGGGTACGAAATATTCGGCGTTTCTTCCTTTATACAGTCGAATTTATTTTTATGCGATTTCTGAATTTATATGACACGAAACTAGACACTGAAACACTTCTTAACATAGGTGAATTACGGGCTTATGAAGAAAGGAAGGACAACTTAGAAAACGACGATTCAATTTAAGAACCTTTAGAGAATAAAACATAAATTACATTAAACATGCATTTAAAAAATAACTTTTAATAAAACTATTTCAATTTATTAATCGAGTTTCATTTAGGGAGAAAATATAGTTTCTTGGAACCACTTATAATTTTTGTGCGTATTAGTAACTCGATTAATCCGATTCCAAACAGAGTGGAGTATAGCGAAATTGATTACCTTGATTATGCGATGTGTTGCTGTGTATGGTTGTGAAATTTTCATGAGTTTTAAACTTCGCACTTATTTATTGTTTTTAGATAAAATTACCTTTCTTTTTAGGAAAATTAGATTCAATGGTTGTTACGGGCAATGGCAACAGACTCCACAGCATTGAAGTGACTTTGAGCTCTTTGATGAGTAAAGTATCTGATATTAATAGAAAAAGTCAATTGTTGAGTGAAATACATCAGGATAATGATGCTCGAAAGGACATTCTGCAGAGGATATCACGCAGTCTAGAAGAAATGGGTAGAAGACAGATCACCACGGTTGCAAAGAAAAGTGGAACTGAAGTTGAAAAATTGGATAAAGTATCAGAAAATGTCCAAGCCCTTTACCAAATATTTGGAGGAATGAATCGAAAACTGGATGATTTACAAACAAGAGTGGAAAGATTGCCAAAATCTTGTCCCGTTAATGATTTAAAAGTTTTTATCACAAAAAAGATTGATTCCTTGACAGCGTCAACGGCGGTGCTATCCGAATGCCTAGAATGCGATAGAGAATCATTTAAAGACATATTACATTCATTTGTGCGCCATCCAATGGATAATGTAGCTAAGAAATGCAATCCAGGAGATCTAGAGAGAAATATTGGCCGAATTGTAGAGTCAAAATGGAAGGACATGATTGATTCTCTTCAATCTGTTGTTCGTTTGAAACTTGAAGATTTCAGTAGTAGGTTAGAAGGGGCAATTCAAGAATGTAATTGCATAGCGACCAAAGGTTCTAGACTTACACCTCACGACATAGCCTACTCGCATGACACTGCGCAAGAATTTAGGGCCCCTAGTAAAGGTCATACAGAAGATGGTAATGTGCCACGAGAAACACCTGGTAGGATATTTAGGAAATTATGGAGAAAGATGACGGAACCCATCAATAAAGTTGGTGAAAAAATCGAATCTCTTGCTCAAGCGCTAGAATTGTCAAATGCAAAGTATCATAATGAAACTTTGATCAAACTAAAAGAATGGGCTGGTAAGGGCAAAAGTGGAGAAGGTTGTTCAAAGCAAATGCAATCAGTTTTAAATACAACTAAGGACATCACTCAAAGATTAGGACTCATGGAATCTCGACAATTAGCTCTACAAAATTCTTGCGCCAAAATTTTATCTGAAGTTGAAAGGGTTAAAATCACACTCAAAGTTGGAAATTCTGCATTTATCCCAGGAGTAACTGAAGGATATTTTGAAGGTGTGGGAGAAGGTTATTTAGCGACAAGTTGCGCAGATCTTCAAGCTCAAGGAACTGTGAAGAATGGTATCTACACAATAAAGCCAAAAGAAGCTCCTGAAGCTTTCTTAGCATTTTGTGATCTCGAAACCGAGGGAGGTGGATGGACGGTATGTATTTTTCTATAACTGAAATAAAAAAGTTTTAAAATAATACTTTAAATAATAGTTAAAAATAATCCTTCAAATTGAAAAAGTCATAAGAAATAAGTAAATATAACCTTTAGCTTAAATTTTGAAAATTGTTTCCTGTTACAAATATGTAGAGGAAAACATCTCTTAATAAATCTTATTTCAATAAGACAGGCTTATAATAGGCGACGTAATTTAAATTTATTACCAGTTAGGAAATTAAAGTACTCATATTACTGGCTCAAACGCGATGTTCATTAACTTTGTAGAGACATTAGGTATATTTTTGGAAGCAGGAAAGATGAAAAATAGCAACCGCCTTCGCCGGGAATCGAACAACGGACCTCTGGAATACCTGCCCAGTGTGCAGAACCACTACACCACGAAGGCACGCTAGGAAAGTGGGAGAAATACCTTATAACTTCTTTCAAATCTTGAAAGTACTAAATTATGAAATGAAGTTACCTACAGAAAAGTCAGTTAGCGCTGTAAAGCAGCATATAAAATGAGAAATTAAGAAATAACTCAAATATTGTAATACTATTGCTTAATTTATGAGATTTAATGAAACACTGTTACAGATAGGCAAGGGGGTTGCTTTAAGAAAATTTCTGTGTTTCAGAAAATGTTATTCTTGTCTTAATAGGTTTTTATTTGTAAGAAGTTGAAAGCATTTATAACATGCGGATAAGTAGTACAGCGATCAAGTACATACATTAGTAGTACACATTAATAGTACATCCGGTCACCACTGGGATTTTTTGGTTTTCATTCCAGGAAACCAGGAGTTTATTTTTCATGTTTCCCTTTTCAAAAAAAAAAAAAAAAAAAAAAAAAAAATGAATTCTAATAGTCATTAAAAGGTCTGATGACTAGCCATTCACTTGACTCAGATTTCCTTCTTCTCGACCTTCGCCTGGTTTCATTCGCTTAATGTATCTGTTGAGGTAATCCCAAACATTCTTGTTGAGATTAAAGTAATTCTTGATGGAGGATCTGGAGGTCATGGTCGCTTTAATGTGTTCGAAAATCCCTTTGCAATTAAAGAAGATAATGGTTTCGGGACGTGTGGTATAATCAAGTGTGGAAAGGTGTCCAAATTGATTCAGGATGACATTTGTTGGTATTAGAGAATCTAGTGGATGCCGGAAAATATCCTCCCGACCAGGACTTTGCCACCACTAGTCTGTGTTCCTGATCTGTTTATTCTAGGTATTGCCATTTTGATGCTTCTCGCCAAATATGCCACTGTCCATACACCCGATAGAGCACAAACCAAGATAAACATGAAAAATTATCCTTTTTTAAATTCCATAGTTGCGTAATTTCCGTGTTCTTTTGCTAACTGCAGGTGGTTTTATCAATGAGTTCTGTGAGTATCTATGCTCGTACCTGGCATTGATTGCGAAGTCCCATACACGAAAACGTTGGTTGAACTGTTCTTTTAGATATACTTCTCGAAGCTATTTGATACATTTATACGGTGAGTCGATCCACAGCTGTACAGCGATCGCCCTTCACTTAATCGTCGGGAACGTCGTAAATTTCCACTGTCCATCACTCATGGAGTTCCACAGTTTAATCTCTTGTCTTTGAAACTCTACTATTGGTACTTTTAAAGATGCACTTTCACTGTAGCCGAACCGAAATAAATTTACAAATCGTGCGGTTTCCGAAATGCTAACACCGTGTGCTCAGTGCAAAAATAAACATCTTTCCTAACTCGGGATGAACCACATCCTTTCCTCATTATGGCGACTGCTGTTCATTTGAGTACCCAGTCTCGATCATCTACTATGCGTCCGCGTGATCTGAACTGGATATATGCTTTCTGTCATCGGCTAGTTATGCGTGATGTCAGAAATAGTTGATTGTTCTAATAATGGGATTTCTTCATATTCTTGTAAGTTCTTATGTTTTGTAGTCTTTCACATTTTACAAGTTGTGACATTAGATATCATACCTTAAATAAAATCAGTTATATTAAAAAGTTTTGTCTTTAATGATTTTCAAAGTCAAAGCGAAATGTATTCATTTAATTGAGCATTAGCAATGCTAAATGCAATACCATATTTAATGCAGTAAGTTCAGGTTTGTAAGAAAATTTATCCTTTATATAATGTTTATGATATAGATATGCTTTAGTTGTAAACTGCAGTAAAACATCTGTAAGTTTAAATAAGGCCATGAGTAATGCTAATATGCCGGATTATGTTTTTAGCATAAGTTAAAAACATAATTATCTATTAATATTAATACACATTACATAATAATGCATATGTACTCAAAATACTATGCATACTGATGTTTCGAAGTATGTAGGAATGTAGTAGAAAATACAAAATGTAAAAAAATACAGAATTCAAAAGTAAGCAAACACAGAAACTCAGAAGAAAAACCGTCGTTCCAACATTTGCTGTCGGGCACTGGATGCGTAACTTGACGGGTTACGGTCCGACTGGTAATCAAGAGGTTCGGGAGTTCGAATCCTGTCTAGGATACTGCACATTTTTCACATCTCCTATCGATAAACTCACAAGTAAAACCTATATCAATAACTCTACAAGTGGGGCCGAACTAAAGAGGTGGTGGATGTTAATTCGCCATCACCAGGATTTGGCAATTGGGTCCCCTCATTCCCAGTCGTACTTTAAAAGAAGGAGCATGTAAGATATTTTCTTCCTCCTTCCCGTGTACCTTCTTGGTAAACGACCGAGGCGTAATCGGAGTTTGAATTCCGGGGCGAAGGCATTGCACATTTATCACGTCTCCTGCATCGATAAAAGTAATGACTCTACAAACGTATAAATTACTTCTCTGAAAATTCTTTCGTCATACCAAATGCAGCAAAATTATAAATGAAAGACACTAGTGCATTACAAGATAATATCGTTAAATGGCATTTAAAGGGAAAATTCAAAATCGAATTATTTTAATTTAATTATTAACCGACCTCTCAATACAAATTGACGTCAAAAATCGTAAATTTTGAGATTAATATCTTGGTCAATTTTTGTCGTACGGCTGCCAAATTTTTGTGATTTATTTTCTATAAACTGGACCGTATAAAAAGTTAGATTCCGTACATTTTACAAAATTAATTTCTTTAAATTTAGAGGTGTCAAAGCATGATTTATTTCGTCTTATAAATATTTAAGTCGTACAAAATGCTTTTGTAAGTGGCAGTATATGTATATTACCAACGGTTGCGAAAATAAAAGCCAGTTAAGAACTTTTGTACGCATAATGTATATGAGTAACATTTTTGAATAAACAGTTAACCCCTCTGGTTCCTAATAGCTGAATACATTATTTTTCAATAATCCCTACAGATAATAATTACATTTAGCACGCTCAGATCTAGAACGTACAATGACCAAGATTATTCTGTTTCAATAAAGCTGCATGTAAGTAAAATACCGTTCAGAGCCGATCACAGAAAACAAAAAGTTAGAGCAAGGCTATATATACATATATGTTTGTATTATTATTGAATATTCTTAATCAGCTACCTTAAAATTTAAAAAAAGTCTAATTTAACAACTTATCCTATCTCCACCCTCCTACTCCTGATTGACTCCCGCTCTCTTCTATTGGCTCCCGCTCTCTTCTGGTTCCGCCTCGAAGTGGACACGTGACCTGATTTCCGATTTTGTATTTCTTTCTAAAAATACAGCTCATCAGCTGCTGCAAGAAACCCTCACTGGGCAGATGGCGCCACACCTTCATGATTTCTCTGGGCATTGAACTCTTACTGAAACAAAGTGTCTCAAATTTTTTGCATACACGTTCGCATTTCGAGGGCTTTACTAAGGAATTTTCATTACAAGGCCCATTGTGGATGAAATTGATAGGACAGGAAAGTACTGTCTTATGCAGTAGAATGCTTCTATAAAACACCAAGTATCCAAGTATATATCTTTTTACATTATCCAAACAAGCACTTTAACGGCAAAATTATCTTCAGCTGTTATTCTGAGCAACTTAAATTTTAATTTTTAATGAAATGTATGATGCTTTTAATGCTTATGACTTTATTTTGGAATCGCGTTTAGGTGCTTCAAAGAAGAGGAGATTTTGGAGAAGAGTTCCGCCAAAATTTCACTCAAAACTGGGATATGTACAAACGAGGTTTTGGCGATCCTCAGCGGGAATTTTGGATTGGAAACGAAAAAATTCATCTTTTATCTACTCAAGACGATGTGAAACTCAGAATCGAGCTTGAGGACTTTGAAGGAAATACAGCGTACGCGGAATATTCAAGGTAAATAAATATACGTTATTTAAGATAAAATACTTGAGCGGTAGTAAAAAATGTATAAACATAAAATATTATAATGTGTAACGTTGCGCGCTTCCAAACTGCACGCAACAATAGTGGTGAATGCTGAGAACTGGAAAGTAGACCAAAGTCTTGAGAAGGGTTTAAATCCCTTTTTATTCAACTTTAGAAATTACAAACGCGTGCTCTTGACGCTCACAAACTACGCCGACCCGGCGGTAAAATAAAAATAAGAAACTAAGAAAAGAATAGTAACAAGTGACTAACTACGAGGCTCTCTAAACGTAACTAACCTCACCGCGTTGTAAAATACCGCTGATAATTCATCAAACTTCTGAATATTACGTTGAAAGATTAACAAACTGCCGAGGCAAGCACACAGGCCGAAACACGTGGTTCTTCTATTTCTAACTAGCCACCTCCACGCTCGTGAAGTAAGAAAGCACACTTTCGAACTCGTTTCCCTTCTATTTAACTCAGAATACTTCCGCTGATAATTTGAATCCTTGCGCGTTCTACTAAAATTTACATCTGGCATTGGCAATTCCAGGGGAAAGTAAGGCTTGACAGGAAAGATAGTTTAAACTTAAAATAAATGTTAGTTAAAATAAATATAAACCCTACAAATGTAACAAAGTAGAAATCTGACAATTCCATGAATGTTAACTGAAAGATATATCACAGAATTAAAAGCTTTCATTGAGAACAGAATCAGTTTCTTCTACAAAAACAATATTGAATTCTTATCCTTTTGTATGTATATGACTATTAAAGGATTCATATCCTTTCCCATACGTGGTGTTTAAGTTACATAAGTGTAGTGGGGTACGTACTCTTCTGGCATATTCAATTAACAATGGACAGTCCATGTCTCAAATTTTGGCGGTTAGTTTCCTTAAGTTTACCGGCTCGAAATACTACTTAGGAGGTCTACTTTGGTGCCCGAACTAAAATGTGTTACACTATAACCTAGATTTGATCGTATGCATATCGTGCATATTTCCAGTCGCTCATTAAGCGAAGGGAAATGTAAAGATTTTTTATCAGATTTCTCCATGCGTGCTTTCGTTATGTTAGTAGTTATAACAGTGGAAGATACGTAGCTCGGATTCTGGCTACCAAACAGAGGACCGCCGCCGTTGAGTGCTCCGAAAATCTAAATACTTTTTATAATCATAATAATTAAGACCACATGTCTGACAAAAACTTTGACATAGAGATCAATAGAAGCTGTACAAACATCTGTTCAAATCACTTAAATACGCCTGTTTTTCAAATACACAGAACGCACGCGCTCGTTTAACACCATACCTGCTATCGACATTCGACCTCTTCATAGGCATTTTCCAGAATGTTTCTGAGTTTCATATGCTCTAAGTAGGATTCAGCATTTCATTCTAACTAGATGAAATTGATATATGAAGTACTGATACACCATAGCTACGAATCCGCACTGCTTGCACTAAAAGAACTGAACATTTTACTATGGTGCATTAGAGGCAAAAGCACATACATTAAGCCAAGGACTAAGTGGCTGAAAGAATGTACAATGGAAATATCACGCTAATAACGGGTATGATACTTCCATCTGAAATGTATATTTGACAAAGGCGAGGCAAGCTGGTAATAGTGTCTATGATCGCTTGCCGTAGCAGTAGCGTCCATTCCTGCAGTAATACATGTCGGAGTTCATAGAGAATGCCTGGCGGCACAATGCGATCTGCTATCCGTCGCCCCAACGTTTATCATACATCATCCATATCATACATATCATATATCATACATCATGCTGTGGTGATCCACGGCAGATGTGGAATGGTTTCTTTCTTCAGCTAACTTCTTACCACTCGAGCTCAGTGCGGGGGTGTTATAGTCCAAAATATCGCGTCGGTATCCATTGCAACGATAAAAGGACGCTCATGTGGGTGCAGAATTTCTTCGCAATATCGGACGACTGTGAAGGAACTATCAGGAATCACGTAGATTTCAGTGCGACCGTTGGTTGCTACCCCAGCCCATACACAGTTTGAGATCCTAGGCCATACAGGGCCATTATAAAGGAGGAGTAAGCTTCGTCCTCTGTAATGCTCTCTTTAGACTACGTCTGGCGCTCAATAGCGTGTCCCTTGGCTCTCGCTATAACATTGCCTTTCGGGAATCCTTCTAGATGTTAAATTGAGACTCGTCCGTAAAAACGTATGTGACCCCACTCCTCTGGTGTCTAACTACAATGTTCACGAGCCCAATTCCGCGCTCTGGCATGCGGCGGAAACAAAGGAACACAAACCATAGGTCGTCGGGTGTACCGTTCACCTTCATGCAGTTGACGCGACACAGTTTGACGTGAAGTTGGCCGTCCTGCAGCAGCATAGAGATGTGACGCTAACTGTCGTGTTATTAGTGATCTACGGCGTCTTGCCCATAGCAACAGGAAGCGATCGTGTCGCGTAGTGATAATCCTCTGGTGTCCAGGCTCATGCCTTCTGCAGAGGTTTTGATCCCTTTGATAACGATTCCACAGCCTATTGTTGACTCTAAAATGCACATTCAGCTCTCTCGCAACAGCGGTTGTCTTGCACCAGCTTGCAACATCCTCACATCCCTTCAACGCATTTCATCTTGAAAAAGAAGTCTTTTCGATTTGGATATCTCGAATTACATGGGACTATCGTCGCTTGCTAACTGACGTATAGATGCGACATGCCCCCCTTTTTTAAGGTATTGTAGTGTCACTGTGGGATTGCGCTTTATGTTAATTTTTGTTGCCTATTCACTTTGTTTGATGCAACCTCTACCTCATATATGTAAATTTAATATTTTAATCCCCCTTTTTACATTTGTACTTTTTCCTGTAGCCTTTGTTGCTGTTTTTTAGTGTATTTACTGTCATTAAATGTTTGAATTAGAAGAATTAGAAGGAGAATTTTAATAGTTTTGAAGACGCATTATCATCAGGTTTTGGTAATTTCTTTCTTTCTTTCTGATACGTAATGTGTTAGCTAGAAGGAAGCAGGCAAAGAGGGAAATATCTGACGCATTAAAAAAAAAAAAAAAAAAAAAAAAAAAAAAAAAAAAATAGGAAATATGGTGGTGAAAACCCATTGTTTAACTATAGGCAGTGAGGATATTATTTATCCAAGTAGCTACCTTATTACCCAGTTGACCCAGTAAAATTATGTGAAGATAGCACTTATCATTTTAATTCTGTGGGTGCGCCCAAAGTGGCACACTGATTGAATAGAGGTTCGAAAAGAGTGCTGAAACGAGCATTGTTGTCGATGAACTGACCGATGAGATGCGGAGAAACAAAGAACACAATCTCTCAGTTGTCCTAGATTATCGGTGAGCCCGGTCTGGGTACACCTAAGTTTCGCCGTTTGATTTCAGGCAACGCCGTTTGATTTTAGGCAAGATTTCAAAGTAAAAATTTAAAATTAATATAGAATAAGGAGATTAGAATATAGCCAAAAAAATAACATAGAAATTTCTTTTCAAACAATTCCTTTTATACCCTAAACAAATCTGGAAGATTTCTTTGAAAAATGAGGGTCTTAAAAAACTAAACGTGGCTAAAATATATGGACTGGTTTGTGTTGAGCAACCATCTACTATAAATAAAGAAGGTTCAGTTTAACCTATAGTAGCCTATAAATCCTTTTTCATTCAATTTTTCTGTGCGTACAGAAGGAAATTTTTAGGTGTGTCCAGACCAGACATACTGTGCCGCAAAGGTTTAATGCTTCTTTCTGACTTGTAAGTCACTACTATTCCTCCTTCCTGTATAGTGAAAATTTATTTTGACGTTATCTGTAATCTTATGGGTAGAAAAGACCTTTTTCAAAATGTCTGACCGTGGTCTTTCGAGAATTTTCTTTGGGAAAATGAGGAGAGTTCGCCCTGTCTCTTTTCTTTTTTAGAGCCTCTGCGTGAGAGATTAGGTTTACTTGTAGGCACTGATTATTCTTGTGCCAGTAAATCACCTCCCTTCCCTTATGGTGTGCTACCGCGGAATAATTGCAACGATGGCTTTACGTATTACGTTGTCTAGAACCTTATTTTTGTTGGGATGAAGTGCCTCTTGGAATTCCCTGACTCTCAGGATGCTGCTGAGAAGCTGATGTTCCCTATGATGAGTGCTGAAGCGCAAACAGTAATATCGAATATATTACATCTCTTAGATTGTTTCTTAATGCCTCGCAGATGATATAGTGGCTTTCCCTTCTTGCATTATAGTTCTATTGTTAATTAGTCTGATAAATTTTCAGTGTAGTTTTGAATGTCTTCTGGTTGAGTCTTGAAAGTTCGGAACAGGATCTTCGATGGCGTTGATTTTGTACTTTGTTGGAATTATGTTTTATTAGATTAATTGTTTAGGCGGCTGGAAGAGACTGTCGTTCGTTATTGACTCGTGAGAATTTTCTTGGTATGCTGATGCCATTCTGGAGGTTATGTAGTAGTTGGGGGATTTGGATACATAGAGCGGGCAGTTGTTGGCAATGATGCTAAATACCTTTGGTGTTATTAAATAAGATTGTTTCGTCTGGTCACTGCTGTCTTTTCGGCGGATATAGTTCTTTGTTTCAGTGGGCAGCTTCCATTGCACTGCGTTGAGTCGTTGTTATTATTATCGAATAGACCAGTGGTGCGCAAACTAGGGGTCGCGACCCCTTTGGGGATCCCCAGAAGTTTTTTGGGGGTCGCCAAATTTTTATGAAATGCATTACGCCTGCATGCTGCATACCATACAGTGCACATATAAAGAGTGAAGCGCCATCACTCACTGTTTAATTGCAATTTCATGCTGTCCACTCTTTCTTTGACCGTAATGCGTAATGTATGTTAAGTGTGAAGACGCAAGTTTTTCACTCCGGTAGATAGCGCCCTCTTCGCGGTAATTCGCCAGTTTTTACTGAAAAGCGCCTGTTTGACTAGACGTAAACCGCAGGGAAAGGGGAAAAATTCGCTTCCGTGACCAGCCAATC